TGGAATTTAAATAAAAAATTTAATATAAAATAATATAAAACTTATATAAATAATCTTAAGTAACCTTATTCTTTAACACTGTATGTCTAATATTATATTTAACTAATGTTAATTTCGCGAAACATTTATAATTTGACTACGTAAGATCTGCGATTAAGTCACGTTTTACTTTTTCCTCATGATCCGGAAATTTCATTCGAATGTAATGTAACGCACAGGTGACGCACAGGTGCCGTAAGGGGTAATGCATGAGCGACACCCATGTCATTATTTTTGGTAAAAAATCTCTGCTGTTGATATCACGGCGATACTTCCACAATTAATATAGTGCGTAATACGTAATGGGTAGATCTGTGTAAATTGAGCATGAGTTCGGGTATCAGGAAGGCATACATTAAATAAATGTGTTGTCGGGAATAATAACATTGATATGTCGTGCGACCACCCCACCGTACTCCTTAACGTAATTTTTCTTCGGGTAAATATTGGATATTCTTTTAGTCAATTAGTAAAAAACAATCTGTTTATATGCATTACCCAGACTCGAAAAAGTGAAAAGTATAGTAACCAATCAGTTGTTATATTATTACTAAGCGCCTTTATCGAGACCTGTTTGTTGGTTTCTATATTAGAAATAAAAATATCTTTAAATAAAGTCGTTGCTACAAAATTATAGATGATGATGAGTGCACTTAAAATTACCCATCACATTATTCCTGCATCGCCAATTCGCAAATTCTATGGAAAGAATGGTGGTCAACTTCGCATTGCTGTTAATTCTTACGAGGCCGTCGAGGATCGAACAAATTCTGGCGAAAAAACGATTATCATATTTGCTGCTGCTAACGGATTTCATAAAGAAATTTATGAACCTGTCATAAGAAACTTAATCGAAAGAAGAGAAAGATGGAACGGTGGAACAATATGGGTATTGGATGCCTCAAACCAGGGTGATAGTGCTGTAGCAAATAAAGACATTCTGCCTGATTCTTGTGAGTATTTGTTGCAAAAATATTAGGAAATATAACATTCTTTAACCATTTTCGTCTCAATAGACAATTGGTGTGATTTCTCTCATGACATCATTCACACTATCCTTCATTTTAACATCAAAGGACCTATTATTGGAGTCGGTCATTCTTTCGGAGGATGCGCAATGTAAATTCTTATATTTGTATACCTTTGCAGAAAAGCGCTGATATGTAAGAATTATAAATGAATTTGCCACTATCTATAGGTTAATGGCTGAAATACTTTGCCCTGGTACCTTCTCGTCCCTTATATCGATCGATCCTGTGCTTTACCCATATGAAATAAAAGATTTTAATAATCCATCTCATCTTCAAACTTTAAAAAGAAGAGATATCTGGCCGAATAGGTATCGGTTTTTCACCATTCATATGATGAGTAATTGCGAGCCAATTCTTACGATCGTTTAATTATAAGAGACGCAGTAAAAGAAAGTTTTCTCAAACACGACTTTTTTAGAAGTTGGGATCCAGAGGTGCTTGATATTCACATCGTGAGTTTTTATTTTTCCGCTTTTTTTGATGTTATGTTGCATTAAATATTGGATTAATCAAAGAATCTCTGATTTAATTTCAGCAATATGGTTTATACGACCTGCCTTCCGGAGAGGTCACTCTCAAATGCCCAAAAATCCAAGAATTTGTAATTTAATTATAATGAACTTGGTAAATTTGCGGAAAAAAAAAATTTTTTTTTTAATCATTTTGTCTTTTTTTTTTTTTTAAAAAAAAAAAAAAAATTTTTAGTACACTTTTACAAAAGACAGAGAAACACCCGTGGAGGCGTTTCAGAGACTCCCCGAAATCCAATGCCCAGTATTATTTATCATTGGCAAAAAATCGACTGTAATCAAGTAAATTACAATCTCTTTTTTCTTTAATTACTTTTTGCAGAATTTGATATGAAATTATTTCATTATATAAAGTCCACAGGATTTTGCTTTACTTAAGGCGTCCAGATGTAAGCATGGAGATTTGAAGATCCTCGACACTGGGCATCTGGTAAACAAGCTTTTTTATTTTATAGTGCTTATAGTGCTTATAAAATGTTCACAAAAAAAAAAAAAATGTCATTATAATCATAAATGCCATAGGTGGTAATGGAAAAACCCCGAGAAACTGGTATGTTATTATAAACCTCCAGTTATCAATAATAACGATATGTATATTGTATATGATTTGCGATCTCTTCATATCTCGAAAACAAAAATCACAGCGGAAGAAATTCTCGAATTCTTGAACCGTCATTACTCGAAAAAATTCGACGAAAGCGCAATTTCAGGTGAAAGGATCGGCGAGCAAATTTTAAATGAAAGAAACAGTAATGAAAAAGACCACAATCAAGTTCTTTTATCAAAATTCTAAAAATAAGGCAATAAGAAATTTCTAATTTAAAGATTACATAATAATAAATTTTACAAATACTTTTCACGTTGTTACTCTAAAAATTTAATTTTTTTTTCATGTGTGAATTCATGAATTACTTAAAATTTTCCATGATTCTTTTAGTAATCTAAACTATGGAAATAAAATAACTTGTTCTCAAGATTTTACAATTTACGGTCGCCTGGTTAATGTGAGATTTCAGCATTACCATATATATATATATATTGTGCCCGTGGCGTTAATTATTTTAAATTATACCGAGTTACTTAAATAATACTTTAATTTGTATCGTTTAGTACCATTTCACGAAATTATAACAAAAAATTATTTTATTATTATTATTTTTTTTTGCTAACCCGCAATCATCTTGTCTTTATTGAGAAATTAAAAGAAAAATCTAAATAATTTACAGACTTTCACAAAGCAACTTGTCATTATACATAAGTATTCTAAGTCAAATATTCGAAACAATATTCACTTATTTGATATTATTGGATTAATCATTATATATCAGGATCATTTCCAATGAATTGCTAAGTTAAGAGAAAAAGGAAAAAATTAATTTAAAGAAGAGGGATTATCTAATTGAAATATTTTTCTTGTTTTACTTGAACCTTATAAAAATTTTTTTATTTATACCTGTGATATCAGACAAGTCAATTCAATTGATTTTTTATTTAAATAAGTATCAGATTGAAACATCTTAAAGAAAGTATTCAGATCTTAGCTTTATTTATTAAAGTTTTATTACTACTTTAAAAAATTTATATAAGCAATAGGGATTTGTAATTTATATTATTTCCTGATCTTTTAATATTATAAATGTCTTCTTTAAAGAATTTGAACTTTTAAAAGATGAATATTTTTAAAGTATTATTTTTATTATCGATAATATTATTAAAACATACAATATAAAAATGGTTAATAGGAACTTATTTATATTTTAAATATCAATGTATTTGATATTAGTCAATTATCTTTGATAATAATTTATATTATTCAAAATTTAGAATCAAATTGAAGCAAATAAAATTTTATAGAAAACTATAAAATAAAAGTTTTAAAAGAATCAAGATAGTCAGAAAGAAAAAAAATAAACTTTTTTTATTGTAATAAAATTTTTATAATTTCTTACTTTAAAGGTTAAAAAAACTTTAATAGACAACAGTATATATATACTATTGTTTACTTACATCAGATAGTTACCTACTTATGAATATACTATTACCTACTTATGAGTATATTACTATTTACTTATTTCATAGTTACTCATTTTGATCCCTAATAAGCTTGATATTGTTTCCTTTCTACAAATTGGATGCTATATAACTTACCTTTATATTGTTATTTGGAACTGCTGAGACATGTGTCAGTATGACATACATTTTGCATTTTAGACTACACTCGAGTAATATGTGTTTTACTTTTATAACAAATATCAAGATGTCATATTTCGTATATCAAGTCACAGGTGATATAATGTAATGTTAGATAGTAGTCATGATCAATTTCCCTCATTAAGCCATATAAGTAAAAAAAATATACTAATAATGTATTCAATCATATGTTATCATTTGCAAGCCTGAAGTGAAGGTTATGCCTAACCTGGTATATAGTGCCTTAATCACCTAGTTAATTTTTCTATAAATACTAGAGTAGTATCAAATAGTATTTATATACTGGCTTTGTATAATGTATTCAAATACCGATTAAGAATGAGGTACATAATATTGAATTGTAGTAAAAGAAATGGCACTAAGTGCCTTAGCAGTTATTAGTTTTGTATAATTTATTTGAATATCGATTAAGGATAAGACATGTAGTGCTGAATTGCTAACTATTATAATGTACTCAAATATTAATTATGGATAAGATACATAGTGCCAAATTGCTAACTATTATAATACACTCAAATATCAATTAAGGATGAAGTACATAGTTCCAAATTGTTATTCTTACTTGATAATCCATTAAAATATCTAATAATAAGATATATAATACTAAATTGTTGTCATATCTGTTAATATCCCAAAATATAATTTTATATATTATATATCTTTCTATAATAATTATACTTTGGGGTATCACTTTTTTAACACCTATTTATATGTAATTCCAAAGCATAATTTTATATATTATATATCTTTCTATAATAATTATATCTTGAGGTATCATTTTTTTGATATCTATTTATATATAATTCCAAAGCATAATTTTATATATTATATATCTTTCTGTAATAATTATATCTTGAGATATCACTTTTTTGATACCTATTTATATGTAATCTTAAAGTATAATTTTATTATATATCTGTAATAATTATACCTTGGAGTATCTTCTTTTTTCAGTATTTAGCTAGTTTATATTAATATCAAAATTGTAATTTTATATATTTTGAAATATTATTATATCGAAAACTTTAAAATAACACTATAGAAAAAAAACTTAGAAATAATACTATATCGAAAATTTTAGTGATATCATTATATTTGAAAACTTTAGAATATTATTATTAGACATATATCAAAAAATGTAAACACTATTTACTATATAATCAGAAAATAAAACTTTGGAGTATCACTAATTCAAAAACTTTAAAATATTACTTTTTTGTTATCATGAAGTATCATTTTTATTAATACTTAAATTACACAACACAAAAATAGTTATCGAGAAAGCCGAGCTTTGAATCTATGACTTATACATATCTTATATATTAAAAGCACTTACCTGAAAATTTATCTTAATCAAAATCGTGTAATACAAAAATCCCCTTTATATAATCTAGATATAGAAGTATTAATTTTTTATTTGAATTTTTTCCCACACTTATTTGTAAGAGATAACAAAAACTCTTTAACTGAGATGAATTACTAGTTGAATGTAGTAATCTTTCTTCTTCAGAAATTACTACTTAACTAGATAATATTATTTTAATACTTGCTTTATTGAAAGATTTATAATACCTATATATATTCAATGATTGCTAAATATTTATTTTTCAGTTCTTTTTTGTGTGAAGTAGTAGATATGCTTATCTTAGTCAAAATTTCGCTTATGTTTTAAGAAGTCAGCTTTACTTAAACTCATATACTCCTTTTTTTTTTTTCTCTCAAGTTCGAAAAAAAATGATACTCCAAAGTATAATTAATTAAAATATCTAGAATTGAGTAATGAAGTTACAAGTAGGTAAGATTATATCAGCTTATCCAATCTATTTTTGAAGAAAATAAGCAAAACTCTACATATATCATTAATTTTCATTAATAACTTTTTATATGCTTTAATAGAACCTTTTTTGAAAATAAGTCTGAGAATATGAAATATAAATCAAACAAATGTATTATACTTATAATCCTTTTGAACAACCAGAGTTAATAGCATATATTATTAAAAATCTAGTACTAAAATATCTTGCAAAATGTTTTCATATCAATTATATATGGGAAAAAGAAGTGAGACGTGATTTTTTTATAAGACAAAAAAAGCTTAAATATAGATATTTGAACTTGAGATGCAAAATAAAAAAAACAATAAAAGATCTTGATAGTTGTTTTGAACCTAAGACTGATTCAGAAATGTTTATAATGGAACTATCAAT